AAAAGCCTAACCTAACCCCTTTGATTTCCTTTTTGCTGTAGTGTTAAAAATATGTGTTAAAGGAATATAAATGGTCACTGTCATATCAAATTTATGCAAAATTTATTTTTTACTCTAGAATTGATAAAATTGCATTTGTTCTAGAAATAAATTTTAGAGAATTCAATATTACAGAGGAGCTTCCAGCAAAACAAAATAATTTTGAAAAAAAAGGACCACTATAAACAGTTTTATGAACAAAGAAAATTTACATACCCAAATTAATACAGGTTAATTGCATTGAAATACAATTTGAAAGGGCGAAGTGAATGGAATGTCTTCAAATGATGAGATATGAATGAGCTTCTAAATAATGAGTGGTTTCTCTCAATTATTTATTCATTTGTGTTGTTTATATTTTAGCAGCATCAGCTGGTATTTCCATACATAGCTGTAATTTAATTTAAATTTCACTTTCATCAATGGACATTCCATCTGATAGAAACTGCACATTTTACTGGTTTTTCATATAATGTACTTTGTGCAGTCTAGAAACTGTCATGAACAAGGGAAATAAAATCTTCCTAATTTTTCATAGTATCAATTTTTAGGTTTTATGTTTTATTTCATTGATATTAAGAATTAAAATATATTTTTATCTAGTTTCAATAATGAATTTGGTTTTTCCTCCACCATTAAGAAAACAAATTTGCTTACTTCCAACAACTAAAGTTGTAAATTAGGAAAACTCTTTGAATTTCTAAAAGTTTTAGTAGCTTCTTAAAGATCCAAAGCTGTAGCAGCAGTGGTAATATTAACATCAGTATTTTCCTAAATTTACAGTAGAAGTAAATTTCTTCTTTGGTGGTTTATGAAAGTTTTACATAGAACTTCTTATCTTCAAAACACTAATTTAACTAGATTAATATGTCTTATAATTAAAAATTTCCATTTTGTTTTAAAATTATACATAGATAAAAATTAGCATCTATCTTCGTCTTTCTGAGCCTTGTTATTAAAAAGGAAAAAAAAAAAAAAAGAGGTAAAAAACCATTAGGAGCAGATTGACATGATGTACCAAAATACAAGAGTCCACTTTCTTACCTAAGAATAGAGAAGTATAAATTGCATATTGGATAGCTGTTCCAAGTGCTGAATTGGGTGTACAAAACCTTTCCCATTATTGTGGGTAACATTTTATGTAAAATCATCCAGATAGATGTCACTATGACTGCAAAGCTGGTCTAAAGTCAGAATGAACATAGAACTCCTTCTCCTCACTTCTGTGTGATCATAATGGCAGTGATTGCATTGTGACATAGATTATCTCATGGACAGTTGCTTGGTGAGCACTTCTGCCAGTTCTGTCGGTACCTTTGGCTGGATTCTCTGTGGCCCCATAGAATTGTGTCTAAGTGGTGTAGTAGTTTGCTGACCATTTCCTCTTGGATTGTGGGGCCTTCATTCTGCTCCCCATCCCAGTCTTCCAGCTCACAAGGCTGGGTGTCCAAAGAGCAACTGGTCTTGCTATTAAAGACTGATGCAAAGCAGGTATTCAGTACCTCAGCTTTCTCCTCATCCTTTTTCGCTATGTTTCCCCCACATCCAATAAGAGATGAGGATTCTCTTTAGCCCTCCTTTTGTTGTCAATATATTTCTAGAAACATTTTTATTGTCTTTTCCACCAGTAGCTAGATTAAGTTCTAACTGGGCTTTGGCCCTTCCATTTTTCTCTCTGCATAACCTCACAACATCCTTGAAGCCATCCTGAGTTATCTGTCCCTTCTTCCAAAGGTGATAACACTCTTATTCCTGAGTTAAAGCCAAAGTTCTCTGTTCAGCCAGGCTGATCTTCTTCCGTGCCGGTTTGTCTCTCAGCACATGGGAATGACCTGCTTCTGCACCTTTAAAATTCCTTCTTAAAGTGTTTCTAGCTTTCCTTTGCCCCTCAGAACTACCTGCTAAGCAACTTGCTCAACCAGTTTCCTAAACAGACCAAAATCTGCCTTCTAGAAGTCCAAGGTAGCAGTTCTGCTGATTCCCCTCCTGACTTCTCCAAGAATCAGAAACTACTTTTGTGATCTCTTTCCCCAAGACGGCCTCCAGCCATCACATCACCCACCAGTCCTTCTCTGTTCAGAAAAACAGGTCTGGTGGGCTGCCATCCCTAGCTGCCTCATTCACCCACTGTCCAATAGTTGTTGGACTATTGATCCTACCACTTTTTCGGGGGGAGAAGCCCATTGCATTTAGAGTTACATCATTACTATAATTTTTTTCCAGTTATATTAAATCTTTCCTGTCAGTGCTAGCGTGCTGTTTCACTGATTTTATCGTAGTTTCTCCTGTTTTTTTATAGTATAAATTTGTGAAACCGTGCTTACATGGAAGAAGAATAAAAACATTTCTAACAGTCTGTTGCCTTCTTAAAGCTGAAACCTCTGCTGCCCTAAAGGGGTCTAATCCCATAGGACATGCTATGTGATTTTAATATAAAAATAGAATATATTATTAGTCTTAGAGAGCCCAGTAGACTACTGTCTGGAACTCTAACAACTATAGCACTTCTGGTTTTGGGAAACTTGGTGTAAAGATGAGTTTTAAATTGGCTTCCTATCTGCAGCAGACTGAATGGTTCAATGATAAACATCAGTGACCATATTTTTATCTCAGCTCAAATGTGAGCTACTGATGAAAACAAAAAAATACCTAAACTGAAGAATAATTTCTTCAGTGGCATGCCTTTCTGACAAAGTCATCATTTAAAGTAAAAAGGAAAGGATGTTATGTTTGTCTTTGAAATGGATAACTTAAAAATTGAGACAGTCTTGATCTCTGAAGTGAGGGAAGATTTAAGGGTATGACTAGCAGAAATAGCAGTTCTGGTTTTAGGTAAACAAGAGTCCCAAATCAGAATTGTGGTCTACGGTGCTAAGTGTTTTGCAAACAAGATGAAAATGTATTATGCATTAGCTAATTTGTCAGGTCTTGTAGGGTTTTGTAAAGGGTAATGACACAAGAGTACAGCTGTTAACTGCAACCTTAGCTGACCTTATCTGACAATTGTGATAAGTACCAAATAACTGTGGAAAAGAAGAGCTCTCTATCCTAATTATAAGTCCCTGCAGTTCCAGTAGCTTCAGTGAATTCCTACAGCTTTTGCAGGAACCTAACCTTGAATTGGGAGTCCAAGCCTCTGTGTTGGTGCATGGCTGTTAATTCTGCTTCCACAGTACTTTCTGTGATTTCTTTTGGTAGGGTGCATAGTGACTCAGTGTGTAATCTACCTTATTTTGACAAAATCCTTTGCTCTCAATAATGCCATAAAGAAAATGATCCAGTTGGGTTCTCAGATTACATCCACTGTTTTTGTAGCTAAAGCTATATTTGTAAAGTATGAGGTACTGTCTGGTGTGCTATATGTTGACATTTGGCTTCTATTGCCTTTTGCCTGCTTGTGTAAATCAGTTTTATTTGAAGTGTAACAAAAATATCTCATAAGTTTGATGTTTTTGCAAATAGCCTTTGAAAAACAATTTTAATAAAATTTCCTATAGCACTGAAGCTTCTTAAAATATAAAGCTACTGTACATCAAGGAGAATTTTACTGTATACATTCATGCATCTAAAGACAGGAGAGGGCATGCTGTACTTAACTTGTTTGACCTGTAATGTATACAAGGAATGGAAAATTTGGCTGCATGTGTAATGACCTGGTAGTCCAGACAATATCCTTTATGCCTTTACTTAGGTAACTGACATTCATAATGCATAGAATCTTGCTTGTTGAGCAGTCTAGCATTATATTTGCAGAGCTACTGCTATACTAACTGGTATTAGATTCACATTCAGTGATTTATTTGACCTGGAAAGCCAACAAATTTCTGCTTTTCTAAAAGGATATTTTCTAGGGCTCCAAATGATCAAATGATCTGCGTTCTAGTTTCCTGTTTTATTCTAGTTGTGATGAACACATGATCATTTGCAATATATGTGTGTATATGTATGTAAATATGATGGGACATCATGTATATATAGTATATATATGATGGGACATTATGTATATATAGCATATACATCAGCATATATTGGGACATGATTTTCACGTTGGTTTGTAACTACAGTATTGGACTGTGGCTTCAACAACCTATTTTAGAAACTTCACAAATAAATCACTAATGATACTTGTTGAAGTTATTGCCTTCCTTAGATAAAAGTATATCTGTAAAGTACCAGTTTGTATAGAGTAAGCTTTGGATCTGTCCCACTGTTAAATAAAGCATAATATAATAAGCTATAATTTGCAATGGCTGCTTGACACACAGAAGGGTATTTTAAATAACCTGCATGCAGAAATTAACCCTTAGAGTACTGCTTCAAATTCTTCAATTTATTTTGTTATTTAATTTCACCAATGGGCTATGCTGCTTTTCTACTCAGTTCATAGTACTGTACATAAAGTACATTTAATAGCTATACAAAAAAAAAAAAGAAGTGAGAAAAAGAAAAAAAAACCCAACCAACTTCTTATAAACAAGGGATTCTACAAGACTAAGTACCTCAGGTTGCTAATGGGTAATGTATTCCTAAGCAACTACTTTTTTGTTAAAGGTTTTATATTATGACATTAATTAAAAGCATGTAATGTTTCACAGTAGCTGTGTGCTTGTTAGGGTTTTTCCTAAAGTATCATAGGTGTGTCTCCTTTAGAAAGAAGTCAGTTCTTTAAGGGTTAATGTGGGGTTAAGGAATCCTGAGGTATACTCCTGCTTGTCCTTTCCTAAGGGTATCTGCATGTTAACTCTCAGATATTACCTGAATAGGTGAATATAAACACTGTATGAATGACTAACTGAATGAATGAAATAATTCCTTTGAAATGCTTGCTTCCATCTTGTAAACGACTGGAAAACAGAAAAATTATTTCTGAATCAAGGTCTTTAATGAAATGCATAAAATTCTCAGCAGAATAGAAACTCATGTACTGACAATTTATTCTGATTTCTTTTTGTTTCAAATAGCCCAATAGAATCCTGCCAGAATTTCTACAAAGATTTCACATTACAGATCGACATGGCTTTCAATGTGTTCTTCCTACTCTACTTCGGCTTGCGTGTAAGTAGTGTGTGTGTGTCTTTGACAGCATGAGGCAGGGAGAGTCTTTGAATGCAGCTTGACTCTGCAATGGCTGGACAGAATTAAAATTTCTAAAATGCGGGATCAAAGCATTTTATTTGGAACATTTAGGTAATAAGAAGAATCTAAGATCACCAAGGAGACCAATAGTTTATAAGTGAAGCTGTCCCAGACTGTTCTCATGTGATAGAAAATGAAAACTGTAACAGTTCAGTGCTGGTCAGTGACATCGAATCTAGTTTCATTGTTCTCAGTGGTATGATAACTACTTCAGCAAAACCGGTGAAGAGTTGATCTGTTCCTCTGCTGTTAGATATGTCTCTGGCAGTCAAAGGCTGAGATAACACCTGCTAGAGCTGCTGTGTTCAATTTTATACACATCCACTTTCCCAGACTGCTAATGAGTGCTTTGCAGAAGCTATAAATACAAGTCAATATGCTGAAACACAGAACCTTAGACTGTACTCATCATTTTCTGCAAATCTAGTAATGCTGTTGCAGGATCTAAAAGTTGGTACATCTGAAACAGGTAGGCATTTAATAAACTTTGGGCTAGTAATGCTTGCAATTCAAGATGTCAGTTTGGCTTTTTTTCGTTTGGTTGTGGGTTTGGGGTTTTTTTAAATATGCTTTGAAAACCATCTTTGCTTCTTAATTGGAAAATTAGCGAAAAAAGCCTCAAACCTAACAGAACTACAATGAAAACATCATGTGAACGGAAAGCCTGCTACACTGGTTTTTAAATTTGATACAAATATTGCCTCCTGATCTTTCTTTGTCCATTTTGTTCCTGAATCACAGGAGCCCCTTTGTCACAATGATAGTTGAGTTCCTTCTATTTCACTTCTGACCAATTTAACCAACATTTTCTGAAGGTACAGTAAGGAATTATATTGCAAATCTAGGTTATTTCATCACCTAGTCTAGGTGCAGTGTTTATCCTTTAGCTATAGATAAATTCCTTCAGTATTTACACTACTATGTATGTGTTCTAAGCTGTATTTTAAAAGCATACAGCGTAATAGCCCCTAATTCTTAAAGGTGGGGCTTTAGTAGACATCCATAAGGCCTGCAATGTAGGTTAACTTTTTAACTTAATGGATTCAATGCATGGTAGTTGTGAACCTCCAAGAATCCTTTTTTAGAAGTATCCAAATCCTTTGTAAATTTTGTGCTGGTAATAAAGTTGTATCTTCTTACCAAAAGAATTAAAGTTACATATTGTCCACTCTTACTCAAAGCAGTAACTTAGGTTACATTATCAACAAGTAGAGCAAGCACAATAAGAGAGAAGATACTGAGAACTGATGCTAGTACTTTCATGTCTGCACTGTATGTTTTTTGAAAGAAAGAGACAACTCTCTAGACTGCACCCTGGTCCTGTGGACTGAATGTGCTTTAGCAGTTACGATGAGTGAGATGCACTGCCAGAACTCATTTTTTCAGTTTTAGTTTCAAGCAAAATAAATTCTTTTGTTATCCAAAACTGTTTTGTGATGCAAACTGAGGCTATGGTAAGTGGGAATGATAAGGATTCACTTCAGATTGATATTCCTTATCTAAGTTAAAATGCTAACATAGGCGTACTTTCAGATCTCCAGGAAGTTCCGATGAACTAAACAGTAGTTTCTGAGGAAAACATAACACTTGGTTGTGTGGACACAAGAATTGGATCAATAATGAATTTGCTACTTATGCAATAAGCATCTCATATCTTTAGGTATTTTAGTGGTTTAGGAGTTTTTTCTCTGATAAATATCTCCTATGAGGACTCACTGGCAAATTAAAGATTTTGAAGAAATATTTTAGAATCTCATCCTTTTCCATCTGTTCTCCTTGAAATTATGTTGCAACTCAAAATCATGTAAATATTACCGTATCTTCAGTTATAGAAGATATTTGTGTTCAAACACACATATATCCATTTTAAAATCTTTGTTGGCTAGTGTCCAACTATGTGAGAGCTCAGAAGTGAAGCCTTCAAACTTCTGATGAAGTCCAAACTGCATGAGTTAGCATATTATCAAGCAATAGGGTCTGGCAGAGAGAAGTGTGGCAGTAATCCTTCTTTGAAAGGGACAGAATTATGCTAGTGCTTTTAAAAGATAACATCTCTTCAAGCATGGTAGGATTGCTTCTGTAATGAAATAGGCTTTTACTAGTTGCTAATTACCTAATGAATAAATGTTGCAGTACTTACACAGAAAAGTATAAGTGACCTTTACAGTCAACAGACTTTGTTTTCATTGACTTTAATTTGTTTGAAAGCCTCAAGCTTGTGCCCTATGGAAAGAAAAAATTATGATTGGAACATATATTGTAAGTTATGAAAATATTGATCTGACATCTTAAAAAGCTTTTACTTTCAAATATTCTGACTACTTCTAAATTTAACAAAAGGGAATAGAAATCTTCTGCTGAAACTGGATATTTTTGATCTGTTTTCATGCTGGAACATTGGTATTGAGTAATACAGACTAGCAAAATATCAATTTATTTTCTGTTTTGAGTATTCTCTGAAGCAAATACTGCTCAGGTTGTTGGTCTTATTTTTAAATATGATTTCAACATTTTTGACATCGGTACAGTCTCCTTTTCCAATATTTAATCTGACATTCCAGCAAAGTTGGTATGCACCATAAACTTATTCTGTCAAAGTTTTAAAGTATTTCTAAGGGAAGGAAATAAAGTGAATGAAATAGAGATTGTCTGTATTTACTTTGAAAGAAACACAATGACTATTCTCTTTAACTCGAAAAATACAAACACTGTTTTTAAATGTGTTAGTCAAAGTTTCAAAACTTAAATGAGTAAAACTGCTCTTGTAAATGTCTTCATGATGCACTAAAATTTTATATTTATTTGTATATTTAAATTTCATATTTCTATGTTTTAATTATGTTTTAATTATTATTCAAATGGGAATAATAGTTTGACCCTATTTAAGCACAGTGGAAAGTTTTATCTATGATGTCCTTGGCATCTAAGTTTACTACTTTCCCTGGGCTGATTTCATAGTGAAGAGACAGGAATGACCACATTTATGGCACAGTTCAAAGGACTGCAGTGCTGGTGCAGTCCTGACTCCTTGTAGGAGTCATCCTGGTGATCTCTTCTGGACAGATGATAATAGGACTCTTTGTAAACTGTTATGTATTTGGAAACCTGTGAGCAGCAAATGCGTGATAAGACTACTACCAGTACATTTGGTGTGCTAGAGGAAAGATGATATACTTCAAAATATTTTATACTTGCCTATACTTCTCTAATAATACTGATACATTGTTAATAAATGTGGAAAAATATTTTTTAGCATAGATATTACAACTGATCACATCTGTGATCTATCTCTTCAATTAGACCTTTCATTTTAATACCAATGTATTAAGCAATCAAGCAATCAAGCAATACACAATACAAACCATTTTCTAGTGAGACATATTTTGTCTGGACTGACTTAAAACATCAATTACGACACTAACTTTTGAGTTTAGAATTTTAGAACAGAAAATATTTCACATACATGCAATCAGCGTGAGCATAATCTGATTCTTTCATCTCTTCTCCTCTTTTTTTTTTCTTTTTTTCCCTCCAGTTTATAGCAGCCAATGACAAGCTATGGTTTTGGCTAGAAGTTAACTCAGTGGTAGATTTCTTCACGGTCCCTCCAGTGTTTGTGTCAGTATATTTAAACAGAAGTTGGCTTGGTAAGTAAAATAATTTTTCCTTTTAATAGCTGTTATAAAATTACTGAAACTTTGCACATTTTGATGGAGAATTTTTTCATTTTGTGTCATTGTGTAAACAGAAGAATAGTATGACAAAGTTGTTTTTGCAGTGAATGTGCTATTTCAGTGGAAAGGTGGGTTTTGTCAGAAAAATTACTTGTCCATTTTGTTCACAATTCATTAATATAATCTCCTACTCTAAGTGGTGTAGAACTCCAGCTTGGAGGTACTGTGTAACATGAGTCTGTTTTATAAAACAGTGAATTTGATGTGGTTGTCTCAGCTTGCAACCTGAACAGGTGATCCTTACCATTCATTCACTGAACTGGATTGCTGTGAATTATTGTCAACAATGAAATCAACAAGCTTTCATTGCATCTTTTTGAGCCAGCGTGACTGAATTTTAAATCCACTGGAGCAACAAATTTGGGAGATATGTTTAGACACTTGACACTTGTATTGGACTGCAAGGAATGCATTAGAAAAAGTATGCCACATGTAAAAGGGAATACAAAATGAAACAGAGAGGACATATCAATTGAAGAACATCCAGAATGTGACATATGGAGTTTCTTGTACAAATTGCATATGCTCTCTCATTAGGTAAAATGAAGGTCAAAATTTGGAATTTTTTATTCAGAGAAAATGTCCTAAAAACGGCGTATTCCGTGAATGCAGTGCCTTTAGACAATGTATGAAGCGTCACAGTTTGACAGTTAATTTCTCCAGAAATACAGGCACTCATTGTCCCTGAAAACTGAAGGGTGGTTATTTTAAATGTTTCACATGCAAAGGAAAGTAAAACAGAGAATCTAAATAGTCTTACAATATTTTAAACTTTATATGGAAGTTTAAAAATACAAAAATTATTGATGAATTACTGTTTTATGAAAAAAAGATTAATAAATGTGTACCACGGTAAAGGTCATATTATATGTATCAGTGGTTATTAGTATGCCAGAGAAGAAAGCAGTAAAACAGCCAGAAAATACCACCATACATTCTCATATGATTATACTGTATTTCTCACATACTTCTGTCATGTATGGGAAACTAAGTAAGGCTTTTTGAAAAAGAAAATGTCATACATTTCCATATTAGAATAGAAAATAAGATTTTAAAAGGAAGTATGGAAATAAAAACCACACCTATGTCTAAAAGAAAATTGCTGATTTCAGTAGCTATAATTTAATCTCAGATTCTTTGCATTATGTGAATTAAAAGGATGAAGTTTCACACTTGAATGCGATGTATCAGTTTCCTAAAACTTTGAGGTTGAAATCCTTGGAGATGAAGGCTGTCTAAGAGAATAAATAGAATCACAGCATCCATTGAAAAGGAATTTGAAATGAGAAAATAGCAAGACCACAAACTCTGGGAAATGAGGCCAAGAGATAATTATTTGGGATGAATACCCTTTATGAAAGTGACTGCATAATTGACTGACTCATGGTGACACAGCAATCTAACTAACAGTACTGACTGGGATAATGAGAGAGTTTGCACATTTGGCAGTTTCTGCTGGATATTTTTTACAAGATTTATACCATTTTGCAGGAAGAGTTAAGCATTTTGCTTATATTTATTCATAGAGTTGAAAGGATTTCCATATCTCTTAATTACACCAATATCACCTTTTTTTTGATTTCTTTTTTGTAGTCCCACTTCACCTGTTTTCTCGTGGAATCCTCCTGAGACATTTAGCATCCACTTAGGCAAAAAAATTATGCTTTTTTAATGTAGTCAGCTTAGGAGTGACTTATTTACAATGTTTTAGCTTTACACCTGCTTCCAAGGTGGTTTTCACTTTAGAGAAATCATCCTTAGTGAAATAATTCACTAATTCAAAAATTTGAATTATTTGGGTTCCTAACATAACTTTAATTTAGATCAGCAAGTTATATTATTTTGAGAAGCTGTGATGAAAGAAGTTTTAAGAAAATACACTGAAGCGTATTAATGAAGATTGTGTATTCCTTTACACCTTTTAAAGAGATGGCAAAATTTGCTGTCTGTGGAGCTCAAATACTTGGGACACACTTGTAGGTAATACAGTGGTAGGATTGAGTGTGTGACTAGAGGGGAAGGGAGGATGTTTAGACCATACTATTTACAGTTTGAGGTTAGATGGTTAGATGCCTACTTTACCTTTTCCTTTTATATATCTTTTGTAATTCAGAGAGAAAGATCCTTGTGACTCAGAACAAGTAAGTTATGGTTTCTGCACCAGTTGTCTCTGTAGGTAGGATTTGCAGGTAGGTTTGCCTTTTAGCAAGGCAAGTAAATACAAAGTCCTTAATGTTAGTCAATGTGAAAATCATTTAACAGGTTTGAATTTTGCTGTATCCCAGTAATTATTCGTACATTTTAAAATTTATTACTGATTTAGCAGGTTTCCTTTGTATGCTTTAAATACCAAAATAGTTTAGGAGCCCAAATACAATACAGCATCTGGAAGGTATTGTGGATTAGGGTCTTTCCAGTTTGTTTCATTACTGATTCATGTCAGTCAACTGTGATGAGTTCATTGAAGCAGTAGACAGAATCAAAATCACCACTGTGGCTCCCAATTTCGTGAGAACTGTCCTGGTTTAGCTAACTGATGAGTGACAATACAGACACATGGTTTAGGCAGATTTAAAAAAGAAAACAAACCATCCTAAATAAAAAATAAACTTTGTCTTCAGAGCACTAAATGCTTATAGAAAGATGCAAAGCATAGCAGAGGAAATGTGATCTGAATGTATCATCTGTAATGTACTATAGTGGAAAGCCAGTGTTTTTTTTCTCTTCTTATGCTGGTTCAGAAATGCTACCATTCAGCTGTTATGTCGCTCTTAGTATGTGAAGCCTTCCACTTTCCCTGCTACTATTTTGCATTCAGTTGTTCGTAATATGTATTTTTGTATCTTGAAATGCTGTATATGAATGAAATTTGCAATCATATTCATAAAAGCTGTTATTTGAAATCTAATCGTTCACCTAGATTTCAGTATGCAAACAACATTCAGTATTGAAAGACAGATCAGAGTATGCTTTTCCATTAAAAGATTTCTAGGAATGGTATTGTGATCAATGTCTAAAGTAAAGCTGAAAGCAAAACAGCACTTTAAGCCTGCAAAATATAAAATTTTTGGATTTGATAAATCCTTCAGAAAGAATTCCTAGGGTATCTTTTTTGCTACCACAGAATAGCATAAGAAAAGGAAGCACATGAAAAGAATACATCTGGCATATGGAAAGATCTACATATTATTGAAAAAATAGGAGAAGTAGAGGTAGGGAAGAAAGTTTTAATAAATCATACTGTATAAAAATTTCTTATTCTCTGTCTTAAAAACTGTGCAGATAGAAACATCAGTATTTTTTCTGACGTTCATTTACATCTGGATCCCTATGACATTTTTCCAACACTGTTTTGCAAACAGTAATGTTTGTGTAGATACCTGCTCATAAACTAAAATCCTGCTTTATAAAATCATAAATATTACTTGCACAACGCTGTACAAGAAACTTTCTGTAGTGATAGGACAGTTCTCCACTTCAAGTGCAGGATTCTGTGTAGTGGCGAGAATCTTCCCAAGGGAAGAATGATAATAGAAGGGATGGAGCTTCTGGCTCTTGAGCTATTTTGACAGTGAATTTTAACCAAATTATTTCAGTGCATTGTTGAGTCTGTATACTGTCTTTCTGGTTTAAGTGTAGGTATGCTAGAAAGGTTTTTGGACAGAAAAAAATTTGCAATTGGAGAAATAATGCAATGGTAAAACTCATTTTTTTAATACAAAGTCATCATGATATGAGTATCGTAGCTAAGTTTCAGATTCAGATCTTTTTTTCTTTGGATAGCTTGCAGTCTGACAAGTTGGAGAGCCCTGCAGCAAGTGAACATCTTGCAATTTTATTTAGTAATGATTTACCAACACTCTACACACCAGTTAAAACTGTTATTCTATCTTCTGTGATAGCAAAGGCACTTCAAGTAACTGAAATACCTTTTATCATGTACTTATATGCTTATAAAAAAGGAAATACTGATCTTATGAACTGACTGTATTGGAATAAATTGTCTTGACAGGATGGTATTGTTAGAGGAAGATTAAACATGAAAAATATGATCTTAGCTTCACATTTACAAGGACATGTGAATGAGGAACAATCAGCCTACAAGAACTACAGTGATTTAAATAGAATCTAATATATGAATTTGATACTATCCCAGAAATTAAAGGTAGAAAAGATGTATTAAACAATCCATTTCCTTTTCCTGACCATATGCGTCATCTATTCTACTGAACAAAATTTCAAGCAATAGAAACTGATTCCTAGTAAATTCTATTATATTGAAAATTTTTTTCTTCATCCTTCTTCCTTTACATCCTTTTTAGTCTAGGTTACTGCTGATGCTGTGCTGTTTTTCCAGAAAACAATTTGAGATATATAGTGAGGAAAAGAAGACAGCAGATGTAAATGTAGACACATGCAAAGCATAGAGAACAAATCTCTTCATGTGGTGAGAGCATGGTTATGGAAGGGGATCCTTTTTCCAGTGCTTGCTCAAATCCTGTCAAGGTCCCGTTTCAGACATTTCAATTAATTTTGGGTGAGACTTGTGGTTTCAGTATCAATTCCTAATCTGAAAAGACTGTTTCCAACAACTGTGATAGAAATTCAGCTATTTTGGTGAGTCAGAGAATGAAATTGGTTTCCCTCTATGGAGATAGATGGCTTTGGAGAAAAAGTGGTGTGTCTTATTAAGATAGTTAAGGTGATGATGTGAAACCACCTGCCCTTCCAGCAAGTGTGCTTCAAGGTGAAGCTTTAGTTAAAAATCTGTGACATGAAAACGACTTTTGTTTCAATACCCTTAGGCTTTCTTGCAGTAGCCTCTACAGAATAGCTCAGCCTGAAACCATATTTGAATCTGTAGAACACTTTATCCCGTTTGGAAAACTTAGATATTTTAATGGAATGTAGTT